ACGTCGGGCGTAACCCCAGAGTACATTGGACATAGTGGACTTTTGTGGGTAACCTTCTGATAACTCGCAATATGCATGGCGTAAAGAGGAGTATGCATGGCGTACTCCCAGAAATCTATTCGGGTAATTTTTGGGCTTGGGTCATTAGGGATTTTGGGCCTTATATAGTTCGGTCATGTATGGAAAGGGAAAAATTGTCTTTCTCCCTTAGTAAGATAAAAGATGACTGGGACCATTATTTAGGGGTTAATACCCCGATTATTGATTACAGTTGGTTTTGGGTTATGATCAATGTAAGGAGCTGTGATAGCATCAACTCGAGTGTGTGATTTAGTTATCTTCAGTTATTGGTGAGTCTTGTGGGTCGAAAGCACCAATGTTGGTCAACTAAATTATGTATGTAGGATGCTAGTTGTTTTTGGTGACTCTTGCATATTTGTATGATTGGGTTGAAATAAACCTCAGAGATGGGCCCATTATTGTATGATTGGGTTGAGATAAACCCGAGGGTTACACCTATATGTTTGTGATTGGTTTAAAGAGACCCCAAGGCTAGGCCCCAGGGTTAGTCCCCTAAGTCTATATTGGGTTGGAATATACCCAGAGCTACGCCCACTTATATGTTTGGTATGTGGTATGTAACATCCAAAATTTTGGTAAGTCTTAAAACCCTAAGGATTATATTATTTTCATAAATGGTCCCTTAAGTTGGCTGAGCGTACTTAAGTGTACACTTAGTGTACTGCATGGATGTGGTCACAGAGGAATCAAGGTACGTTGGGTGTACCTTAAGTTACGCGGGGCGTACGCGCTAGGGTTGCAAAACCCTAATTATTCGGACTTGAGTCCTATTTAAGCAACCTTATGTTCCATGGACTACACCCTAGAGAGCCTCCACAGCCTTAGAACGTCCATATACTCCTGGAAACCTTGTGAGATCATTCTTAAGCCTTAAAGTGTGTATTTATGTCCTTTTTGTGTGTATTTCAAGAAGAAGGGGGTGGTTAAGCAAGCTTGGATCAGGTGGGTGCTTCAAGATCCTGCATTAAAAGCATCTTGCAAAGCTTCTGTAGGTAAAAAGCTTGCATCTTTCCTTTCTAATCTTTGGATATAGCTAGGGTTTTGGTGGTTTGTCCCTTTTATGAACTTTGGATCTCTTTTGTTGAGTTAAGACTTCCCTTTTGATATGAAAGTCAGATCTGAGGTCCACTAGTCATTTAAGAGAATAAAAATGGTAGCTTGATGAGAGATTTGACCTCATGCATATGTAAAAGACCTTGGAAAGGTCTTAATAGAGTGGTTGGGTGTGTATGAGACATGCAAGGGCATAAAGTTGCCAACTTTATGCCTTAGGACATCTTTTCAGACTTAGATCTAACTTTTGGTCGTGATGGATTCGAGTATTAAGCACTTAATGGAAAAAGTACTTAAGTTGTTTGTATGCTGGGCGAAACCAGCAGTATGCGGTGCGTAGTGCCCAAACCTTTTGTACGCTACGTGTACCAGGGTGGTATGTTGGGCGTACACAGCACAGTTGGGCCCTAAGCTATTTTGGGCCTTTGGACCTTCGAGCCTCATTTGGTTGTTGGGTTTGATTGGATTCTCTGAGTTATAGGCCTTTTTAACTGTTTGGGGCATGGACTTATTGATTGGGCCTTATTGTGCCAAGGGGCTCATTAAGGATATTAGACTTGGACTTTGGGGCCCATTTGCAAGAAAAGGGTAATTGGGCCTTAGGGGTAGGCTTTGAAGATTGGGCCTCTATTTGGGTAATTAAGGCCCTATTATTTATTGTATTATGATTGTTGTTATTCAGCTCTGGAGGCTGCGAATTACTAGGAGGGCAGTATTCGTATTCATCGGATGGAGGTGAGTCTTCTCACCATACCTATGGGTCTACGGCACCAAGGCCGGCCTATTATGTGTACATGTTGTATGTGTTTTATTCATTTATGGATTGTTATGTTATGTGATATTTTGCTGGTATGGAAGACCCCAGGGGGAGCCTGTGGCATTGGATATAAGACCATGTGGGGTAGCCCATGGCATTATATGTAAGGCCATGTGAGGTAGCCCATGGCAGTCCTAGGTAAAGACCATGCGGGGTAGCCCATGATATTCTTGTTGATTGTATTGCATGGTTTCTGTGGCATGTTTGTAGCTTGAATTAGCTATCAAGATATATGTATGTGTTTGCGTGTGGTATGCTTTGGAAAACTCACTAAGCATTTCGCTTACAGGTTGTTGATTTGTTTCAAGTATTTCTGAGCCCAAGGGCAAGGGCACGGGTGATGACGTAGCGCGTACTCTATCTCTCTTTTAATGTATTTGGGACCCTCTAATGTTTTAAAAAGGAAAACAAAGATGTAATGAATATTAATTTCAAAACATATGTTGGGAAATCTGTGGTCTATGAGATTATTTTGATTAATTCAAAAGTGAAAAATTTTCTTTGTAAAATTTGGGTCGTTACATGATACGTTGGGGAACTCACTAATATTTGTGATTACAATTTATGTTTATGGTTACAGGTACTTCTGGTACAAAATGGAAAGGTCCGACGTAAAGGCATATCATACCCCTCATGAGTCCACACTTTTGACTATTTGTACTCTGATGTTTTGACATTATGTATTGGGATTGATTTTGAGACATTTGATGTATGGACCTAATGGTCTTTAAAATAAAAATAATTATCACTATTTTTGGTTGTTACAACCCTGCCAGACGCTGGGCACCTCATATGTTTTAGACTTTGACTTTTTTTCATTTTGACTTTTTGATCATGTTTAACTTTGGGTCAAACTTTTGGGTTGACTTGTAGACTGAGTTTTGGTCTCTTTTTGGTATCTACCTAGTTCGTGAGACCGACCTTGCGGATATTCGTCTGCGGTTGAGGTTATCCAATTTTTTGAACGTGTGAGTTTTCTCACTATGCTATATGTTACAGTATGTATTCTTTGCATGTTAGGATGTAGTTATGTTGTCGTATGATGTTAGGCAAGTAAACTAGTTTCGCCCATTGCATGTTTTTGTTGGATTTTTTTGTTGTCTGTTTGTTCTATTTATTGACATATCATTTTGTGAGTTGAGGACGGTCTAACTATATTGTGACAACTGTAAAATTAGGTTAAGTTTTGTCGAACACCATCACTATTAACATGAATGTAATAGCACTTTCAAAAAAGAACATCAATGTAATAGACCTAATGTAAAATATTCCACATATTTTAAGAAAATTCAGTGTTATACTTTAAAATACATCTGTAAAATTCTTTCTAAACATTAAATTGCAAAAATTTGGATGAACGGACCATTGTCGTAATACACAGAAAGTTAATTAATACTCATATTTGAAATAGATATATGTATTCAGAGTTAGTTTGTACAAATAATACCTTAATCAGAAAGTACGTATATGATAGATGAATGACGATTGAAAGTTTCTAAGATAAAGAAAAACAAATTAAATAAATGGAACATGAAGTATAATAGGAATCAATAAAACTACATTTTATTTAGTTCAACTTGATCTTCTGGTTTGATGATAAATTTGTTAACCACCAAATAAATTAAAATTAGTAAGATGTTTGAAAAAGATTACATTATAAAGAAATACTAGATTAAAACCCGTGTTAAACGCGGGGAGCATATCAAAAAACATTGAATTGTAAACATATATTACATCATAGGAAGCATGACAATTAAAAGCAGATTACTAAGTTATTTTAAATTCATTAACATACATTACAATAGCTATTTTAATTTCATAACAATTAAAAGAACAAATAAAAAACTAAAGAATCATAGAATAGTATAAAATATTAAAATAGTTCATTACAAAAAAACAACTATGTTCGAATGCAAATTAATATATATATATATATATATATATATATATATATATATATATATATATATATATATATAATCACTAATATCGAATTGGCATAGTCACTGTATCAAAATCAGAACGGATTGAAAAAACTTGTTGAGAATGATGTGCCGGAACCACATACTCAATCGTATTTCCTCTAAAGACATATAGGATATTGTTTCTATAATTCCACTATTCACGTGCACTTTCATTGTAAGTACTATCATCTACTTTAACCCATCGATTGTGAATGAAAATCCAAATAGCCCATGAACTATCTCCACTAATAAAGAGATATCCTAATTTTCCGTGAAACTTGATTAGTCTCGATGCATACGGTTTTAATTCATTAATAGTAGAATGTGCAAATATGAGTATATGTTCTTCTGAATAAATATCAAATCGCAATATGGTATCATTAGATAATAAGAAGTATACGGCACCGCCACTTGTAACTGCCTCATTAGAGACAGGATAAATAGATGATGGTAACCGGATATTTTGAAACTCCCTCCATTGCTATGTAGTAGATGAAAACAATTCTATGTTGTAGTAATCATAGTCCAATTTTTCCGTAGGCATATCACTACAAATAAAATAACATATAAGTAAATCATAAAGTAAATTAATAACATAAAATGTACTACATATAAACTCTTACGATGGCTTTGTGTATGACAATCGAATGACCTTGAAATGTAATGGGTTCGAACTGATAACTACCAAAGCAAACTTTGTTGCGGTGTATTCAGAGGTCGGAAACGGTATCCATTTGGCATCTGAAGTCGTTGGTTTGATAACAAATAAAATATTTGAAACGTATTCATCTAGATCATAGGATTCAAAAAGAAGGAGTCCACACAATGATGAAGCTAAAATAGTACAAGTATGTGGTAGCCAATTAATATCATGATTGTTGCTACTAAAAAACGGAAGAAACTGACGCTCTATATTTCTCCATGGTTTTTTTTGTTGAACGATAATTCCACAAACCACATTATTTCTACGGTTGTAGTTATGAAGAACATAGTTGTTGTATGTTAGATTTCCATAATATGTATTTGTTCAACGTACAGTAGCAAATGTTTGTAATGATGTTCATGAAATAATTTCAATAATTAGTTCAAGAGTCAATAACGATAACTGCAAAAGAAAGAAAGAATAAGATAATAATATTAGAAAAACTTAAAATTTAATATTTGATTACATACGATTTTAATTGATAATAAGTATACTGATTGTAGCATTGAGGGTAAAGAATTTTACCCGATCCATTTTCATTATTTTTTCCAATTCATCAATAATTGTATTGTTAGACGTGATCCTTGAGATAGCATAATATTCTGTTTTGTTATTCAAATTGTCAAGTGTGATTTGAATTTTGAACGCCATCTTTTTTTTCAATAGTATATTTAGAGCAGATGGATAAATTTCATTATTACCAACCTAAAAAAAAGAATGTTTATAAAAATAGATATACAAAATAATAATTTTGTTTTATGTAAATGAAGTTAATATGTATAACCTTATAGAACTCATGAACCAACTCTTGTGCGTTTTTTCTTATAAGCTTCTTTGCATCAGAATCATATAAAGCAAGTGACACCGAACCGGTAATATCTTTAACTATAATGGTGATTTTAAAACTGAAAACATTGATGTAAACATATTTAGTAATATAAATTTAACACAACAATATAATAATATTTATAAAATAAGTTTCAAAACCTGTGAACAACATAAATGACTTTGTTTATGTAGCTTGAAGTGTTACAATAAAAAACTTCTTTATCTTGAGACTGATCATGATGGATTAAAATTTGTTTCACAACTTTCTGTTGACATCTAATACAAGTAAAACAGTACCATTCCCTTTCAGCACATACTTGCTTAATCGTACCGAGAACAATTAAAGTTTTTTCCTAAAAAATGTTAATGGAAGTTTAAATTTTAGTATCAAATAATAATAATCAAGGAATAACATATAAATAATACAAAACCAATATATCATAATTTATATATTGTAAATGAAAATGATTTATATATACCTGATGTACTTGTTGGAGATCAGCAATGCTACTGAAATCAAAATTATGAAGGAAATCTTCATTTTCGGAGTAGATGATTGATGATGAAGAGTTGCTACAATTAGCAATTGTGGTTTGAGCCATTTATCTGGACAAAAAAACAAATATTGTTTGAAGTTATATATATATATATATATATATATATATATATATATATATATATATATATATATATATATATATATATATATATATATATATATATATATATATAACCCGAATCTAAGATTGCAAAAAATATATGAAGAAATATAGAAAATGAATTACCCTCCATGCAGGCTACGAAATATTAGTTTGAAAATGAGTCAAAAACATTAATTGCGAATGTAAAATGATGGTAAATATTAAATAAACGATGCATTTTTTTTAAAATTTTTTTATTTGATTTGAAGTTTTGTTAAATATAAAAATGATGAGACCTCCACATCTTTAAATCGGATAACCGAATTTTTTTAATAGTAGACTTTTCATTTCAGATATGCAAAAAAATTAATACAAAGTTACAAACACAAGTTCCTACAATTTAAAAAAAATACAATTCAAAGACGTCAATTTAAAATTTAAAAACAAACAACATATATAAATATTTATATTTAATATGATATTAATGAATTAAAATTAAAAACGAAAATAACTTTTTTTCATACGAATACATTATTAACCATAGATATTTTAGGAATATTCACATATGTTTGTTATTTATCACTTAAAACTTACAACCTGATTCAAAATCAATAATACAGAGAGTATAAAGTGAAGACGATGAAGACAGAGTATTCAAAAGAATAAACGTACCTGTTCTTGAAGATCTAATTTTGAAAAGAAAAAAAGACGTGGAGAATAACAGAAAACAGTGAAATTGGCATAGATGACGGCAACAATAGAGGACGGAGGTTCGGAGAGTAGTATGAACGGGTGCTAGTCAGGGACTCAGTGAGTCAGCAACAGGTGCAAGGCTAAGAAGATGGTGAAATCGGATACTTGGAAATGACAACTGAGAAGGATTGGTGATGTATGTTCTAAAAGATCAAAATAATGAGTTTTTGTCCCTAATTTTCTAGATATTTATAACTGATTCGTGATATATTTTTTCCTGATTTTCATAGTTTTTGTGAGATTTCTTTCCAAAATTTATAAAAAAAAATCCTTCCTAATCTTGTACATTTTTATATTTGTTTATGATCTGTATGCATGATAGCACTAAAAATCAGCATCGTATCTTCGATTTTATGAAGAATAAATCTCGATTTTGTACTTGAGTATGATCACGGTCGCAACATTTTCCCTCAAAATCCTTGAGTAATCAAATTGCTATAAAATCGTTTTAATGTGACAAATTACATAATCCATCAGCAAAAGCTTCAACGCAAGTTTGGATTTTGACCAGGGGCATCATAATAAGAATTTCTTGACATCTATCTTTGTGTGATAATGCATTTGCATCACTTATTTTCTTATTTTAAAAACCTTTAACACTAATCATATCATCTTTATTAACCCTTATGAACTAATCCTATCAAAATATAGAAGAGCTTTGAGTTACTTAAACAAAAAAAAATCTTTTTGTGCCAATTTTAATCCAAGTTTTTGACTATTATCTCGAGATGTATGCTTTTAACACTGCAATTTGACATCCAATGGGAAATCCGTGAGTGATCCATGATATGTACAAGTGGCATTATACATAAAATGAAAAAATAGGATTGTCTCAGTGGCTGCAAATACCAATGTATGCTTGTTAGGGAAGAAGAAAGAGATATAGCTGGCGATACACCTATGAAATATCATGGAAAATGGGAACTCAGACGTATGATGTTCGGTGGAAATAAAGTAGGTTGTTATGTATCCAACATTTTTTTGGGGTTGTTTCTTTATAAAGTATGATGTACTTATAGGGGTAGATTGGTCATTTTATCCTAATTTCATAGGAAAGATAGATTTTCATAATTTAAACTGATATTTTGGTTAAAGTTTGATTGGTTGAGTTAAATTTGAGTTGTATCATTTGTTAGTCATTTTATCTCTTGCACATGGTTTATTTTCATATGTTTTGAAGCTTATGAATGAATTTGAAAACATGGATCTGATTCCTTCGTGTAAAGGACACTTTACAAGACCTTTTATCAAGGAGTTGGTTTAGATAAGGCTCAAAAGTTATGATTTAGCAAGCTATTTTTAAAAAAAAATTGGATTGATTAATAGCAGTATGGAAAAGAACATCTATGGGAAGGTCCATCAGATACTTTAGGGAATGATAATTGCAGCCTTAGAGATGATGAAATTTTAGTTACATATATGTATTTTTTTTTATTTTTTTTTTGTAATAATGTTATGTTTCCATAATGAACCAAAAAATGAAAAGCATTTGTATAAGAACTGTTTAGTTTTTTTATTTTTTATATATATATATATATATATTTTTTTTTATATATGTAAGCATGCTAATTGTTTCAATTAATGCCTCCATATTTCCTTTGCTTTATCTGAAAAGTTAATTTTTTATTAAAAATCTAAGAGTTTAGGAAATCACTTAGATAACATGCAATGCTAATGAAATTGTCTTCAATTTGCTGGATTCTTAGTTGCTACATGGTGTTCTTTTTACTATAGGAATTTGAGTTATGCTACTGGTATTAGCGAAGGGATTGGCAAAAAGATCAATTGGTTACTTTTATGTTTGGTTGATAATGGGTACTACTCTAATAAGGCTCTAAAGTGAAATTTGAATGTTTGGAGATTAATCACAGTCGAATCATTTTTTTAAGGACAAAGGGGCAGTTTGGTCAAAATCTGTTTTGGTTGACTTTCAAACATTTTTTTATTTTCGTATACTTGGAGTTTGAATGATATGGATATGGCTTGGTCCCGTCATTGCATTAGTGTAATCGTATATATAAGGTGTTTTTGAATAAGGAAATCATTATCTTCTAAATTAGGATCCTAAGATATCAGTTTGGAAATTTTCGTCTATTCATCTGGGAAAAAAAAGAAAGATATCAACTATATTAATTCAAAACTTCAAATTAATTGACTTTCTTATTTAATAATTTTTAAAATTCAAACAATTATCTCAAATTAATTCATTTTATGTTGGATATATTGGGAGATAAATTATGAATAATATTGAATTTAATTTTGTCTCTTAAATATTTTGTTGATTTAATGGGATTAGATTATATTTTATAGGTTAATATCTTAATTATTGATATGCTTGTTTAATGAGATTTAAAAAAAAAAAACAAATAAATAAAATATAAACGAGTTTGAATTTGGAAATCAAAACCTATAAATAATAGAGTTAAATTAGGAACAATATTAATTAAAGAAACTAATATCATGTATATAAATAGAATGATATGTTTCAATTGATAAAATAATTACTGAATTTAAAGGTTGTATAATTATTACAGATTCTATAATTAAATGTAATTGTGTTTGAATTTTATTTGGGAATGATGATGTCAGCAATTTGATTTAAAAATAGAAAAAAGAGGAATAAAACACAATCAATGGACCCTGATTGCTTCATAAGTGAATTAAAGGTTCTCTTTTAATAATATTTAGAGATAATTAGGGAGGGGCTTTGTAACCAACGGAGATAACTAAGATTTAACATAGACTTCCTACGAATAGTCAAAAATAATACAATAAAAATAATATTGTTCATAAGTCATTGGGTTTTTCGCTCCAAATAAAACATAGTTCCGAAAATTACACACCATTCAAATAATACGTACATCGTGGTTTAATTGATTTGATAGTAGACATGGAGATTATTAATAAAAATTCATTTTCAAGTTAGTAATTGACAATCCTACTTTCTAGTTTCTACTAAATTACAAGGATACATTAATAAACCTATCACAAACTTTTTTATCCACTCGAATACGGTTGTACATGTCTTTTTGTACCATTTTAGAAATGAGAGTTTCGGTAGATTAGGTGGAATAATATTAGTTTGCAAGAAATAACATAATAAAATTGAGTTTGTTAGGATTGGTGAAAGAAATCAACTACTCTATCCAAGAGTAGATGAATTGAAGCATTGTTTGCCGCCAATGGGGCCAAAGGCCAAGTCATCTATCAAAATATTATTTATTCTCTTATATTTTTCACATAAATTTTCAAATGTTTTCGATATTAGTTGTAATGGATAAGGTATAAAGTTATACTCATAAATACATGTCTTGCAAATGAATACAATAATTCATAATACGCACTACAAATAATCATAATCGATACATTAAAATTTTCATATTTTCTATTATGTTGTCCCATTAGGGCATGTGTTTATAATGTGTAGACCGCCATACACACATTTTAATATGTAGACCGCCATACACACTTTTTCGTTTTGGAATTTTTGCCACGTTTTGTTTTGGAATTTTTTTTAAAATTCGATGGTTTCAGGAACAAAATTATTGTTGATCAATTTCTCTTATCTTGAAAACTAAATACAAAGGGAGGATAAATACAATGAGACATAACAAACAAAGCTAAACAGTAGAAGATGATAAACACGTAGACTATCATTATCTTATCATATAATCTCTCCATCAAGATGAAGAATGAAGAATGCTTATGCCCATCTTGCCAAGAAGAAAATGAAATTGATTCATTCCAAGTCCTTTTTGTCAGCAGATCTACAATCTGCATTTTGCTGTTAATCTTCATTAAGGCAATTTCTTGAGAAACAACTCTTTCACGAATAAAAAAACAATCTATTTCAACATGCTTTGTTCGTTCATGGAAGACAAGATTGTTGGCAATGTGCGAGCAGCCTAGTTGTTACAAAACAAAATTGTTGGAGAATCAATAACAACTTGAAGGTCCTTAAGAAACTATCTAACCCACAAAATGTCACTCGCGATTTAGGCCATGACTCAATATTCAGCTTCAGTGGAAGAACAAGACACAACTGATTGTCTCTTGGTTATCCAAGAGATTAAAACACCTCCAAGCATAAGAAGATAACCTACTCTTGATCATCTCGCATATGGACATCCTAGCCAGTTTGAATCACAAAAGGCAGTTAAAACAGGTTCTCTAACACGTGGCAAAAGAATGCCCTGGTGTCCCTTTTA